TTGCGTCACCATTCGAGGAGACATCTTCAGTGCTCTGAAGATCAACCTTACTTGAAACCCAAATAATAGTATTTCACCACTTACATATGAATATCCGCTCAAGTGGAAAATGCTTTCGATGAAAACCCGAAGGACACGCCTATCGGAGAATTCCAAATAATGGTGCCCACTGCTGCTTCATTGAAAATTCTAAGGGATGCTTCTGGCGTGGTAAACACGGAAAAAAGTGCGCTAATCTTCTCACTCTTTTCACTGGTTTGAACCTTGGTATGTAGTATGCTGTTTTCTACAAAAACTGCAAAAATTCAGCTCAATCTGAGAAGCTACATTAAGTTCAAGTCTCGGATGCCAGGACGCACGGATAAATTTCTGATGTGCCAGTTGTAATCTGTCGATACAGTGAACTTTTACAAAACGTCGCTCCTGTAAATTGTACACGCATTAGGTTCTTCCCCTGAAGTTTTAGCTGTATTTGGTCCAGACGCATCTCATCTGCCTCCATCAGGTAGCTGCCAGCTCGACTGCCGTTAACCGTCTTTTACCCGCGTTCACCCGCCCACGCACTCGCACACCACGTACTCATAAGCGCACATTGTGAGTCACGCTAAAACGCAGATGAATGCGATACGCACATAGTATCGCTGACTCACCCCAATCGAAGTTCATGCAGGCAAACCATCCGACAATATATTTCGTCAGATTTTTAACGCTGCTCTGAGTAGATTAGAAGATGTGGAGCTGGTGAGCAGTTTTAGGTCAACCGAGTTGACTCGTAGCGTTTGTGGCTGGCAGTATAGACGTATCATTGATAGAATTAACGGTAAACCTGGTGTTTCTGGTCCAAGGCCACTCGAAGCCAAGTAATCTCAACCACACACACGTTGAACAAAAAGTGCAAAATCTCTTCACTCTCGCCTCATTGACCGCAAGACTTAGTCATCACTTCTACCTTACAAGGGCTTTCAATCGAAATTCAGCGCCGATGAAGGCTACCGTTTGAAAGTGATCTTGCTGATTGATCTTCCGTTTTCCTAGTAATCTACCCACGTGGCTTGATGAAGCTTTTGTGTGAAAAACAAAACACTGCTTGGCAACAACCCCGACTGTCCAACGGTAAATCAGAATGCTTTCGAAAATAAATAAAGTATGAGTTCATTTCCTGAAAAATTCCTATCGTGTGTTCCCATACCGGTGGGGCCAAGGAACCTTCTTCAGGTAGACATTTTTCCCGACTGAAACTGCTATTAAAACACAATCGAATTCGTTCGGCACCACTCATTCACTCATCAATTGAATGAGCGACTGCAGACGAGCCATTGGGCCAAAAGGAGGCAAAGTAACTCGACGATCGCTGATAGATATATAGAGGCCAAAACGTTTGGGAAAATTACATAATTGTTGATTTACTTAAACCTTAGCGAAATGTGCTCATTTGCAAACTAATTTGGTTTTGCGAGAGACTCACCTGGAACCCAACTGGAACTCTCGTTTGTGATGTCTCCAGGCTACTGAATGTCCCGCACCAAGCCGCCTCATGTTTCAGTCGCTACGATATTCGAGATATCTCGATACATGTGTATTCGTAATGCACCACTCATGAGGTTGCTGGCACTTCGTCGACAGCCTACGACCGATTTTGCCCTTCTTGGGGCTTATCGGTTAGGCGCATTCCCCAAGTTTCTGTCAACCTTATGTTCTACTTGAAGCCAAATTGCACGAACTTAGTGAAATACACTCATTTGCAAACAAGTTTGTTTTTGAGGGCCTTATGAGTAGTGCATTGCGTCTACTTAAATCTTGTTTAGTGACATTTCCGCTCGGTCTGATGAAAATCCCTATATCGCATTGATGACAGTGTCGTTCTGTTGTTAACAGATGATCTGCGACTGAACAGCGAAAGTAGTGATTCGGATTTCTCGCGAAAATTTTTGCAATAGACAAGGAGCGTAGTTACGGTTTTCTTGTGTGAATTCTTCTGTTCAATCATTATGGAAATAGAGAGCATTTAATGGTCGGTCTTCAGGCGGTGATCTCTCACTCACCGTAAGAATCCTTACAGAACGCCTTCATAAAATGAATCTCAAGTTATAGTTCTTAGAGTTAGAGTTGTCTTTCTGATCGGAGAAAATCCCATGGGTAAGTGTCCATGGACAAAACCCTGGTCTGCAGTCTTCAATATTGGTTGCTTTGTGACTTGGTCATGTGTGGGTGTTGTAGTGTGTCTAGTTTTCCTAAGGCATTGATTCACATGTTTACTTTTACAAAAATGGCAGTGGTTTCAGAACTTTGAACTAAACCTGTGACGAGATGGACTGTGATCCAGGTCTTCACACCTAATATTGTCGCAAAACGGAAAGCCACATGTATCTCCAGTCCGCACCGTTCGATGTTTATTTTCTTCCCTAGACACCCAACTCTCAGACCAACGTAGCTGGCTTTAAGGTGTTTATATATCGTCTTCCGTAGCTAGGATTGCCATAGCATGCAGTTGCATGTGTTTGCCCACACGCGACTCAAGGTCCTGCATCTTTCTTTCTCGTAGTCAGTACCCTGACATTTGTTATTTGCGCCTGTTGAACGCTTTGTCCCCGGTACAATGCGGATAGTTATCTATTTCCTTTTTCACATCTCTAGGCCGGGGACCTTTAAGAGATCACTTTGCACAACTCATCGATTCCAAACAGTGGTCTCATGTCGAAGTGATCATGCCGTGGTTGGAATGGGCTGACTATCCCGTTTTGTTGGGCTGTGCCGATTTGGGAATTAGTGTGCATCGTAGTTCATCCAATTTGGACCTTCCCATGAAGGTATGTCAGTTGCTACGTAGGCGGACTAATGATTTTGACCGCTTTAATGTAGCCATACTTTCATGTTCATCCTATCTCGTTCTTGAGGTACTGATCACATTCTGGGATCTTGAAGAGACCATTTTGATGATTTCTACAAAGCGAGACATTTAAATTCACCTTTTGTCGCACAGACTTGTTAGTGTCCGTTAATTGGTCAGTAGTCAAACAGACGACAGAATTAGTTTTCCGAACTACCTCTTTTTCGCATGCGTTCTGCATCCCGAGATTTTGTCTGGAATGTCTGCGTATGAGGACGAACATTAGCTAACGGTAAGTTTTTTCACAATCTTTACCAGAGCGCGCATTTGCCGGACACCTGTAATTAAGAGTTGCGTTTTTATGAAAGAAATCCATTTATCTGGTACTGAATTTTTCAGTCAGTGCCTATCTAGCCTACTTGCCTCTATTTGGGAAAAAGAAACAACTGAATTGAGTCACTAATAGTGCCCAAGGATGCTCGCAATGAATGTAAGGTGTTAGTTTAACTCTCATTGTTAAAAGGCCTCTGGCGTCCTTGATTCTTCGTCGTCAGCGGCAGGCGAATCCTTGACCCATGGAGCATCAAGCGAGATTTCGACCGGCTAGAGGCTGCGTCCACCACCTCTTCACACTCCGTCGATCATTAGAGCAGCGCCATATACACAGACGGCGCACAGTCTTGGAGTTCATTGACTTCAAGGTTGTGTTCGATTCTGTCGATCTGGCAGTGCTGTTAACCACATTCGCTCAACAGAGGATACCTTAGAAGTTTGTGGACACAATCCGATCCCTCTGGCGTGTGAAGGTGCATATTGAACTCTCTAAAAACTTCCATACACAATGTGGCGTCCAACAAGCATGTTTACTCTCTCCGTTCTTGTTCAAACTCATCGTCAATGAAATAATGTAGCGAACGCCGGAAGATCATCAAAAGCTTGATCTTCAACTCGTTGTTCGTGAGCCCTGCTGAATAAACTGACCATCGTCGTCCCGTCTTTCGGCGTGCGTCGCATTGGTTCAAAGTGCAAAGTCATTCTTCGAACGTGTACACCTCATACAATTCAAGAAGAACCACTGGAGGTTGTTGAATATTTTACCTTGGTAGTTTTGTTATCATCATCATCATCATCATCATCATCATCGGCCCGAATCATGTTCGTCATTTGGCGCCACTTGTTGTGTCAAAACAGCATATAACTGGATTCCAAGGGCCACTTGTGGCACAATGCGGTAGAAGCTGTGGGGTTGTATGATTGCGAGGCACGACCTTCTCGGACTTATGATGTGAGGTGTCTTAAGGTTTCTTACCAACGACGGCTCAGTGTTGCTGTTGTCAGGTGGCGTCGAGGAATTCGTAACGAGATGGTTAGGAAACGGGCATTTGGATTAGGTACTCCAATCGCAGAGAACATCCAGCACCACCGACTAAGATGGCTCGTCTATGTGCTACGCATGCCGAAACACCATCTACGGAGACGAGTGTTGTTCCCGTACCTCCTTCAGAATGGCGCAAACCGCGAGGTGGACGATGTACGACTTGGCAGAAGGGTATGAGAGATATTACGAAGAGTTTGGGTGCTGTTGACGCGGTCTGCCTTCCAGGTTGGGTTCCCCATGATCCCCTCCGCTTGACTCGAGACATTGCAAGAAATGGCGCCTGATCGATTTCAATGGCGTTCTTACTGTCCGTTTGTTTCTAGCTGGTCCGATTGAGCCACTTCATAATAGTTACAGTCGGCTAGAAGATCCCATTCAGTCTTGTTCTTTCTCCTTAAGGCTTTTAATATAAGTATGTAAATCTTGTGGTTGTACGACAGTGAAGTATCAGCATCAGCACTGATGTTATTCTCTTTGGTGCTGAGAATGGTGGTTAGATGCATACCGGACTCCAACCACAATGCCACGGTGCTACTTCGGTTTCAGTGGGACAATGACCGAACTAGTAAAGCCCGATATTACAGACTAATCCTTTAAAGGACGTTTTAGACACAAGTGAACTTAGTTGGCCAGGAGATGTACCACAGAGGAATTAACATTCCGGGTAGGCGCGTGTCGAACACAACGGTGTGGTCGAATTAGAGATTGGATCATCCCATAGATAGGCTTTCATCATCGGTGTCTCCGCAGCACTGGTACAGAGGAATATTCCGGGTAGGCGCGTGTCGAACACAACGGTGTGGTCGAATTAGAGATTGGATCATCCCATAGATAGGCTTTCATCATCCATCGCTCCGCAGCACTGGTCAGGTCTGGTGGGAACATAAGATTAGTAATGCTGAAGTACGCCAGATGGTCTCAGGAAGAAGGAGCTCACCCGCGATAGATGAATTTCTCTCGCTTCATAGGTTACGTTGTTGGGGCATGTACTCCGCATGGCAGAAGACTGTCTACCTCACAGAGCTCTTTTCTCCCAGCCCTGTGCTGAGTGGAAGCGACCGAGAAGTAGACAGTGTAAAACCTGACAACGAAGTACGAAAACACTAACCAGTAAGCTTAGTCGGGTTGGCAACTGCCGTCTCCCTGGATGGGACCCCGGGGCTCAAATCACCCATGTTTACTGATATTGGTGGAAATGGTTCAGTCGCGCAGTTACTGGTATCGAAGCTATCGCCTTCGCTGCGTAGCTACCCGAATTCCGAACAAACTGAACATGCCCTCGCCTCCAAGGCTTAGTTGTACGCTCCACTTTCCCGTTTTCCGGTGATCGAAACTGTAGCAGCTGGAACCAATGTGCCTATGGCACACGGTTTATAGCTGATAAAATGATTGA